GCATCTGTTAGCCCTTTTGGGCCCGCTTTTAACAGACCGAAATGACAGATTTCCCTTCCCTTTCATATACTTGAAGCCTGAAAAAGGTAGCACCCCTTTCGGGGGGAGCCTCCCCATATAGGCCATTACAGGGAGTACCCCTGGGGGAGTCATATACCAATTACTCAGATGTATTAATTTAGAGAATCATTTTTGGCCAAACTATTAGTATCTTAGTAACTGACTGTCACCCAAAGCGGAACCGTACGGGCTTGATTACCTCTCTACAAACAAAATAAACTTTCTGAGAGGCAAAGAGTTAGCAGAATAGCGGGCCCACTTTAGTCCCCGCGAGTTGCTTCTTACTTAACAGCTTTTGATACCAAGTGCTTAAGATTGATCATGCCGTTACGTCTTTCATAGACGTCATATTTTTCGCTCAGAAATAAATGAATTAAGAACGATGAAAATGTATAAAGATAATCCGGGTGATATTTCGTAACTTATCAGTTTTTGTAGTTTTCATATCTTTTATTGATCCAACCTGTTTTGTACTGTGATATGTGACTTAGTAACGTAAGAGGCGGACATATTTTGTTAAATGGTGTTTCGATTCACGCAGTCGCAATCCGCACTACACATTGCGCTTTCGGGGATAAGAAACATAATACATAGTTTATTATTCAGTCATAGCTAGGTTTTTCGTTTTCGTTTAAGGTTTACACGGTTTTGATAGCTGTCATCTTTTTCTAAACAGAGACTTGCATGATCATTTTGGCTGCTAATTATCGAAACTGTCAACATGACTGTGAAGAGAAAAAGCTGGGTATGCCTTACGAATTTCTGTTTTGATTTCTAAAGTCGGAGTCGTAATAAGAAGTGTAGAACTTTACGATCTAGTGAAAACAGCGTTCTGATTCCGCTGACGTGTCCGTCGTTTACGATCAAGGGAAAACTAGGTTGTCGGAGTCGCGAACCGAAGCAGAAGAACCAAACCAATCACAAAGCGTGGTAACGACAACGACTCCGACAACGAAGCGACGGAGTCATAAGCGGAGTCGGAAGAAAATGGAAACCAGGGCGTAAGGCCCTGATGGAAACGTTCTCAGTCCGGGCCACAACCAGATCTGGATATGTAATTTCCTGCAATGTGATTGGTCCAGACCGCAACCAAAACATTGATTTGATCGAGAAAGGACTAAGTTCGACAGAAATGTCGAAGCAAAGAGCGCTATGGCTGGGATGTTCCTTGAAGAAAAGTCAGGGGCATCTAGCGTCAATTTTCGGAAAATATCTGTTCGGAAGACGATTTGAGATCTAGAATTTTCGAAACATTTGTTGTAAAATTTCTCGCTTGCCTGCCTTTCCTAGGATTTTCGAACATCTAAAAAGTGGTTTAATTGCCTGTTTTTAACGGATTTTTACCTTTAAAAGGTCACCGAGAATTTTCGGGAGCCTTCTTTCTGGCTGAAATTTTCGAAAAGGTAAGTTTTGATCCCTATAATTTTCGGATCACTAGACTTTCAGCTAGGAAATCCGAACAGATGAAAAACTTTTAGGGGATAAAATTATACCTGTATCTACCATTTAAATACTAAAATACATTCAACAAGGCTATCATTAAGTGGTTTTTTGAACTATATTCTCGTTGGGTGCCCCTGAAAAATAACAGCATGTAATACCAAACCGATTAATCGAGATGATTTTATGCGTCTTAGCGTTCCATTTACAAATATCAAGATGATGGATCGAGGAAGGTTTCTGTAAAAACGCCTGGACTTCTGATATGAAGAGACCCGAAGCAACTCGACAACGCCGATCGAAAGGGAAGAGTAGGGAATTTGAATACTTGAAATACTGATGCATTTTAAGTGGAAAGGTATAAAGAAGTCGTGTTTGGAGTACTTTTTGCGAGCACCTCTTCGGCCTAGAGTAGTGTGTTCTATGCTTCTTCGGGAGCAATACCATACGCGCTAAAATCTAATTGCGATAGGAGTGCTAGATATTAATTTTCAATATTTCAATCGTCAAACATCTTGGATTAATATGCGAAGGTAAAAAAATAAATAAAATTTATGTAAATTGCACTCACGAAGGGTCATAAATAGTCATTAATCATTGTCTGTCTTTTCGTGTTGCAAAACCCCATTGCGGATGAAAATATTAAAATACCATTCACCAGTTCAGGGGTGGACTTTATCGTGTTCTAATAGCAATAAAGTGGGGTGGTAGGCCTACACGACTTTTACCTCATGCCAAAATGCTGCTCGTTCCAATTAAGTTTTTTTCCTCTGCTGGGTAGATTATGATCTGGAAGGTTGCACATTTTCACTGAGCACTTGTGATTTTAGCCGCTTTTTTCACACTGAGAATTTTATGGCACAAATATCGATTTACTGTGGTTTTTGTATCTGGTCTGAAGGATTTTCCCTCTAATTCAAGAGCGTTTTCTGTGACCTCAGTGTTTGAAGCGTAAAGCATTTTATTACGGCTGAATAAGGGTTCTAATTTTCTCCATAGTGCCTTCTGGATCTGAATAACTAAGCGATTTTTGTTCGTCCGTGAATGTAAATAAAAATGTTGTTTTTTTTGCAATGTTGTGTTACGCTGGGCCCAGCTCATGAGTTTTCTTTGCAGGATGTTAGTGATTTACAGATGCAAAATTATAAAAATTAAGTGCATCTTCAACTGAAGCTGCATCAACTATGGAGAAATGCATTGTGACTCAGTAGACTCCAGCTTGGTGTTTTTCTATAAGTTCTATAAATGCAAGTCTTCTGACTGAGTGCGTCCCTTCCCTGAAAATAACTTTTGAATAAGCTTAACAGTGTTTGAACTGTTTTGTTATTGCCACTTTGTGATCAGGCAAGACCATGGTTACGGTTCTCCACGAACAAACAGGCGGCATCTTTTTGCCACAAAAACAAGGTGCATTTGCTTTTCCATCCGACTGCAAGATAACATAAAATAAACATGGCTTTACAATGAAAACCCAGCACGTGAACGACAAAACTGACTGTTGCATCTTCCAAAGCACAGCACTATTTGAATTCGCTATGCACTACACCAAAACGACCACCATCAAGAAGCAAATTTTATGTAGATTTCAAAAAAATTTTTTTCAAGGATCAGAAAATTGAAACTCACCTTTTTTTTAGATGTTTTGCACCTTGTCCGGCATTTCTTTGAGCTGTAAAACTCTCGTGTTCGGTCGTTTTACCTCCCAAGAACGCACAAACGTTCATCGGACGGCATTTTTTCTTTACACCCCTGATTTCTCATTGTCTAAAGTCACAGCTCTCAAAGTAGTATGGGGAAAAGACACTTCTAGGCGCAGCAATGAGCCTGGAAGCGACCTTCCCTCGTGTTTCTCGGCGTAAGGGCCATTTTGCAAATGTGGGTGACGTCATCATATATCCAGCTCTGGTGTGGCCCGGACTGGTTCTGATTCCGTTCTGAGTCTTCTGACTCCGATTCCTTCGAGCTCAAGACGCCGTTCACGACATCACTCCGATTTTTGATTGTCACAAGATCATAAGCGCTCTTACGACTCCGCCTACGATTCCGCCTCCGACTCCGTCGCTGGTGGAAACCAGCCTTAACCTTATGAATTTCTTTGTTTGCGTAAGGAACCAAGAGCTAAATCGTCATGAACTAAGCTTACAGGGCCTGCGTAGGGGTAGGGGCTGGGAGGGCCAGGGCCCCCCCCGAACTTTTTGAAAAAAGAAATAATAAATTTAAGAAATATTCATTTTCAAATAAAAGGAATCTTTGATGGAATACGAATATTCGACTGGCGGACCAAGCCGAAGCGTCCAAATTTATGATTGGTCCGTTTCGATCCTATATCATAAGGTGAGCCCAAGAGAGAATGAGGTACCTCCTTCTCTCTTGGTTGGTATAGTAAGCCTCAAAACGACTATCTTTACAAAACTGCACTTAGTCGTAGCCTTCTGCGTTTTCACCAGCCAGGTGATGTAGTGTATGCACAAACAATAGAGTCTTTTTTATCAAGGGTCTTAAATTTCCACGGAGCTACGATTTCTTAAAACCAATCGAACTCGATGACATGGTACTGAGATAACATGAAGAAGTTTTAGGAATAACCTTAGCAGAGCATGATATTGACAAATGCAATTTTTTCCCGATCTGCAAGCTTCTGATGGTAAATCCTGCAATCATTGCAGCGGGAAAAGGTTCTTTTCGGCAGCTCGTAGGTTAAAAGCAAGGCTCCATTTAACAATGACTAAATAAAGGTTCTAAACAGTCGCAAGGAGAGACCGGACAAACTTTTGAAGTAGATAAAGTACGCGAAAATCATGATGCTGCTGTGCATGGTTACAATTTTTTTGTTACTAACTCCTTTCGCGTTTGATAAACTATTTTAAAAAAATGATTGATGCCGAGTTGTAACTGTATTAAAAATTATTGAGTCGACAACTGGTCAACTATTTTTAAAGTCCACAACCCCACAACCTCCCTCCCCCAAATACACTTCAAAAGAGGTGGATCAGCCCCTGCACTTGAAAACCGCTCCGCGAGCCCTCGCTTAAAGTGAAAAGACCAACTACTTGCGTAAGCATTGAGTAACTTTGATTTGACATTATAAATGTAACTTATTTGTTCTTAAGGACGATAGTTCACAGATAGGCAATTCACTTCAAGACGCATTCTTAATGGACCAGAAATTAAGGTTAACTTACACTAAAATAAAACGCGGATCATGTACTCATTTTAATTAACTGCTCTAATTTTGTTGAGATGGATCGTTCACCATGTTTATATGCTTGATGTTCTCTCTCAAGGACGCTTTCGTTTGTGTGCCCTCAGTTCCTTAACGATTTTTCTTCTTATTTTTTTCTCTACTTCATTACAGAAGAAATCCTAAGTCTAAAATACTGAAGCAGAAGAAGCTTCGCAAAGTTTGCAGCCCTGAGAGAGCTCCAATTTTCGATTTTCCCAAGCTGACCCTTGCCTTTTCTTGGCTCAAGCTAATGAATTGTAGATTGCTGCTAAATAATTCAAAACCACCGCAGAGCTTCATAACTGTCCTCTAACAACTTAACCGCCAGATTTTTCTGTAAATCGTGCGACCCACCAACGGCTTTGTAGCCTAGCACACTCATCACGTGACTGCAATATTTTTCAATGACACTGATGACGTCAGACCCAACTAGCCAGCGCCATCTTTCCGCTCCTTCCCATGAGTCCTGTCGCCAGGCTGCAGCTTTTCTTTCACTCTCAGTTTCAGGACGATGAGAAGCGAGATCCAGCCATTTTCTCAAATTTTTGTCGTCGGGCAGCCCGGCAAATTTCAATAAACTTGGCAAAGTCTTAAGCGGATCTTTTGCCAGATCTTCATAACGTAACAACATAAAACGCTTTTTTTCATCTGAGGACATAGATCGAAAGAAATTCAAATTGATTTCTGTCGCGCTGCATATTTTTTTAGACCACTCATGTGTCCCAAGCAGGGAATCGTCGTCGTCTTTAAAAAATCCAAAGGCCTTCGAAGAGGGAATTATGCCACGCGGATCGCGAACCAGGAAAAGAAACTTGCAGTTTATCCGGTCATTGTCACAAACTGACAGCAACTGCTTTACGTTTTCGTTAGGCATCCTGCCTATCAGCGGCTTTAGCACTGTTATGTTGTATTTAGATTTACAAGTCGCTTCCAAAGTTTCTTTATCCATTGGTGGACAGCTTTCAGCAGACCATGATGAATGCGTTGTGTTGTAAGGGCAGAACGGTGGCGAAAGAAGCGAGATACTTTTTATAGGATTGTAGTTCTTTCTGTACCTTCTCCGGTAATATCTTTCCAGGTCTTGCACGTGTTCAGGAGACACGAAATCGCATTGAAGTATTCCTTTCATCCATTCAAATGCTTTCCCTTGATAATCTCGATCCTCAGTTGCCACTGCTCCATGAAGTCGCTCCACTGTTTGATAAGGCTCGAACAAATAAAACACGTTTGGATGGTGATTAAAAATGTTTCCAATGAAAGTGGACCCTGAACGGCCGTGTGTCACAATAATTAGGTTTTCTCTTTTCTTTTTGCTTTCCCGGCCCACATCCAAATGTTTTTCTTTGTCGGGTTTTCGAGGTGCTTCAAAATCTTTAAAATTTTCATTGCATTTTTGTCTCACGCTAACTGAATCATCATATTCCTTAAGAATGAATACACTGCCGAACGACAGAGCCAAAAGGACAATGAAAATTGGTCGAAAGCCGAACCGGCAAAGAATCCTTCGGTGCAACATAGATTAACCCTTCAAAAATATATGGTACAACTACTCTTAATGATTAACTCAAACAGCTTCCGAGAACCCGTCTCAGTATTAAGTTTTTAAGCTCCTGTAATCCACACCAAAACTGAAGAAGAAAATTTGATATCAGAAATTCCTTACAGTGTCTTATTGATTCTATGACCACGTTCTGACAGCCGCGGGGAACCGCCATTTGCTAATTGAATCCCAATTCAAGATCAAACAATTTTATATTCCTCAAACAAAAAGGAAGAAACCTGTTTGGTTTGCTAGACTAGTAGGCCTCACTACTCTTTGTTTAGAATCACTTGTCTTTATTTGCTTTACGAGTTGCTAAAAGTTTACACAACTACCACAGTAAAAGCTGCAAATTTATCGAAATTTACAACGCTGATTAAGATTCTTTAGCAACATTTCATGAAAACCGTGGAGCTTTGAATTTTAATATTAAATGATCCTCTGTCGGTCCCCGTTTACCTTCTATTCTAAAGTATAATTTCAAAAAAAGTTCGTGTGCCACGGAAATGCGGTATGTAAAAAGACCCGGCAAAAGCAACTCGTTCCTTTTCTCTGTAAGAAGGTTTAGTACCACAGGTTTTTTTCTCACGTGCGCGAGAAGCCTTTTCGTGCTCATAAATTTTTAACTTGTTTCTAACGACCCGGCTTGTTTGTTTAATGTGGCTGGATATTGACCATGTTCCTTTTTTTTTGCCAATATCCAACCATTTTGGCTGAACATGCTGGGTCAATAAAGGATTTTTTATAAAATGACCAAGAGAAATTGCGCGAACAAAGCGGGAAATCCCGTGCCCGTTCGGGTGTCCATGCAGGACACGGAATCCGTTTGGTCTTGCTCGCTCGCGGAACAGGCCATATAAGAGGGTCTCAATGGGGTGGTGGCTTTTACGGTTATCGGCTAAAATTTTGGCTCTTTTACGGCTATCAGCTAATTTTTTTCAGTTACGGTTAACAAAAAAGTTGAAAATTAATTTCTTTTGTTTCAAAGAGTTAAATATTAATAAACCTGTTTTTTTCTATCTTAAAAGCAAAATAAAGGTCTTGGAATTGTTGTTTATCGACAATGTGTTTTACAAATAGTGACATCTCTGCGTGTTGTTTCATTAGCATTTCGAGGACACGACCTCCTGAAAATCACAAATATTAATCCCCAGCAAGAAGCCAGATTTTCGCCATGGAAAAAACTTGGTTCTTCGAGAGAGCGGCGGAAATGGAGCCTAGGTCTTTGTCAACACCTAAAAGACGCTTAGCTTAACGTGCGTACAGAGTCAAAGTAGCCGGGAAATAAAAAAACCCAACCATAAGTGAGCTTAGCAACTTCCTTAAAATTAACAAATCTAGGGAACAATTTCTTTTACGGTTAACTCTTTTTTACCCTATTTACGGCTAACGGTTAAAATTTTTCAATTTTTACGGCTATCGACTAAATTTTTGGCCATTTTACGCCTATCGGTTAACCCCATTGAGACCCTCATATAATAAAATCCTTTCGTTATAATTAAAATGACAAATGAACAAAAGTGGTAATTTTTTGTTTGGCGATTACATGACTATGAAAGCCTAGTACGTGCTTTCTCTGTTTGGAGAACTAGTCCTATCCAGTCCAGAGTCCGGTCCAGAGCAGCCCCCCTCCCCCCCCAAAAAAGACAAAACAAAACAAAAACAAAAAAATTACCCCGGAAAAAGAAAAGGTCGGTTAAGTCCAGAGTCCAGACCAGAGTTCAGTCCTGGTTTTTCCAACTGGCCTTATGAAACTTGGGGAAGGGTGCATATGATAATTTGTCAACGTAAAATTCCTTACAAATTCTTAATAATGAGCTTCTTTTCATTGAGAACTCTTTTCGCGCCCGGGCGAAATTATGTTAACAAATGGCGCCGACAGTATTTATTCAAACAGTTAGAAGTTTTTAGTACACGTTTAAATAGATTTTGTTATCAACATCGCAGTGATAATATCTGAGTTTAAACACTGAATCAGTAGTGAAAGTAATAACCTTAGCTTTGAAGCACTGGCACTAGGCCATATCTCCTATTATTATATGGAGGAGAGTGTTTTACTGGGAACTAAACCACTCGTAGATTCCATACGCCACTTCATCCGGGACCCGAGTGGCGTATTTTCCGTATGTCACCTTTGTGAGTGTCGTATCGTTCAATGACGTCACGATTCCCGCCTTTTGCTTTTGTTGAATTGGTTTCTCCATATAATAAAAAGAACATTACACGTTGGCTCGAAGATATGAATTTTATGTTCTCGTGGCAAGAACAATATCTCACGAGTGAGCGAAGCGAACGAGTGAGATATTGTTCTTGCCACTCGAACATAAAATTCATATCTTCTCGCCACCGTGTAATATCCTCTATTTATGAATACTCGGATGTTTTTCCGAGCCGCCTGTGTCACTGGCCTAATAAACATCTTTCTCACATACATCTCTCTCGTTTGAATTATCATGTATCCCACCGCCCTTTCCTGACGGACGCACTTCTAACTTACTACTAGTGTTACTGAGGGTACGTAAGACTATAGCTGGATAACAGATTACGCTGAAACAAAGAGCGACGCGTACTCCTACCGGGTTCCGACGCCGTACTTCACACCGCCGAATCGAATTCGAGTTTAGGCCGACTCAAATTAATTTAGGCAGTCTGAATTGATTCAGACGCCGATCTTTGTTCTTATTCCACTCGAACTAAATTCCAAAGGAAAGAAATGTGCCTTTCGGTTTAATACGTTATAAAAAATATGCATGCAGTTCGGCTCACAGACGTTATTCCCTGTTGAATGAATGAATGAAGAGTCGTGGATGAGAGGACAACAGACGCGCCCTCTTTACAATACATTTTTAACATGTGAACAGTAAGCACGGACGTCAGCATACAGCCAGGCGTCAAGAACGGCTGAACCAATCCAAATACACTTAGCAGTTTCTAATTGACTCAGACGCCGTACTTCACAATTCGATTCGGCTCATGTGAAGTATGGAAGCCTACTTGCAGCACGTGACTAAAGTAAGAGAACCAATAAAATTTCCGTATTCTCCACAATAGCTTCCATAACAACCGATAGAACTGCTTCCAAATTTAGCATCGTTTACGAACTGTGAATGTGAGGAGTAGAGGTACAGAGATTTAAGATGTCCCTCATGACGCCTAAAACCAACTGGACAGCGGCCATTGGCCAAGATGCAGAAACTCCCATCAGGCCACTCTGCGGAAACACATACAAATAAATGCGTTGAGATTTAAAGCGTATTTCCTTATAATTTTATTTTATCCTTAGTATAACTTTTATTTTCTTGGTTTTAAACTCGTTATCATAAATTACCCTATCCAAATACAAAAGAAATCATTTTATTAAATAAATTTAAAAAAACATTGGACAAAAACATATTCAACCGCAAAATGTCGCTACATAAATTCTCTTCATCGGCCCAAAACAATTTTTTAGTGGATTGATAAATTATTGATATTATCAGGAGAAGGCTAACAGTCGACAATACAATTCTGTAAACCTAGGTATTATATTGTCGTTAGACTTTCAAAAAAGTCCTTCGTCGCTCGCTGTCGGCCGCTTTGCGGCCAAAAAAGGCTCGCTCCGCTGGCCAAGAGGTCGACTTGTAGCAAGTCTATATTGTCGTTTACAGCGTGTTTCTTGTTCCTTATAGGAATAGGCCTAATTCTTAGCTAAGTTATCGGCCACTATCTATGCAATTTAGAGAGATTCAATGCAGTCATCCTGTCAGGCCCAGAAATTAATCAACTGTTGTTGACACAAAGACGATACTGAAGCGGCTGAGTTAGTTATAAGTCGGTCAAGCAGTCGTCTGATCGAGCGGTACGTGACTGACATCAGTCTTTTTTTTTCAGATTGGAGATGGCGCCTTTAATGGTCGACCTTAATGTTATGAGTCACACGAGGGGATGAGCGTTTTGGGTCGGTATTGTGTCAACGAGCATTATGGGATTGTTTTGAGGGAGCGATCCCTTCTTTCATTGGCAATTATAATTGCGCTGGAAACTGGGTCATAATTTGTCACCAAAACAGTACCATAGTGCAGTTCGAGACAACACCAAACCAGTCCCACGTGCACAACACGTGCACTCAAAATGGCCAGTTCACGAAAACGCAGGCAATCACTCAGTTACGCTAAGGACACTGTGGATAACTTCTGGCCAGACCGACGAAGGTACAACAGCGCTTGTTTCGTTCCATTCAACCTTTCTCACAAATCACCGACAAGTATCTGCTTGTCCTGGTGCAGACGTATTGTTTTAGAGATACGAATTACTGAGGGCCGCCTGAAAGTCCTGCATAGTGTTCAACGTGAGAAGTACGGTCTAGAAATGAAAGACTCCAAAGAATTATAATTCTATTAGCCCTGAATATGATCTTAATTTAAAAAAAAACTATTTCTAATTAACTCACCTTCCCTGCTACCTTCGCTTCGTTCCTTTGCGTAGTTCACCGAGACTCGTAGTGTATTTATTTCATTTTCCAGCTTCTTAATCCTCGCCATAACCTCGTGCTCCATTTCTTCTATTTCTTCTTCGTTTTCTTTATTTTCTTCAGCTAGGCTTTTAAGATCCTTCCTTACTGTAACTGTTGTTTCCGACCACACTCCAGCCAGCTCATCCACATGTTTTATAGTTTGATTCAGCTTTTTCGTGATGCTTTGTATTAAGCTTGATTGATTAGCAATCTTTTTGAAGATCTGCTTGAATTTAACCTCATTCCCAGTTCCCTTGGTGACGCTGGTGACTTGATGGCTAAGGTTTTCAATTATCTCAGACTGGGCTTTCACCAGACTTGTTACTGTTTCAACATTGTTGGCGAGTGCGTTGAGCTAAAGAATCAAACGGATATGGTATAAGTGAGTCCCTAAATACTGTCTGACCTCTATAAATAGGTTTTAATAAACTGTGCTCGCAAAAGTGGCATAATGTTCAACTGGCAGTGCTCGTATATTTCTAAAATTATACCAATGATTATGCTAGTTTTAAAGGGACGACTTGAACATAGATTTCGCATTGTAAAACAACTTCCATTTCACTTCTCACCACAGCAGATTCAACAATAAAACAAAACAGGTAAGATTTTATCTCTTATTTAATTTCTATTTGCAGTTTACAAATAAGAGCGTGAGTTCCCTATGGTCTCATGAATGTGACAGTAAGTAGAAAAAAAATGAAAATGATTTTGTAATTCAAATCTGCCTGTAACACTCACCTCGGGCCGAACAACTGGTTACATTAGTGATCAATAAAAATAAAACTGTTGTGCTACAAAACTAGCCAAAAGTGCAAATTATGCTAGCGGTGTTTTTTTCGCAAAATGGGTGAAAATTATGCTCGTTATGACGAATAATGCTAAAAATTATGCTAGCGCAATCTATCAAAGCCTATCTAAAAAGCGGCTCAGCACTAACCAGTCTCTCGCCAGTCTGAAACTTTGTTTTTACCCTTGCACGCACTGGGATTTTTGTTTGACCGCTCGCGCGTTCCTGACATGCGCAAAAATACGGCCGGGCTGTTTTGCGGTCAATTTCGTACCTCAAGTCTTCGTCCCTTACTGCGCATGCTGGCCTGGTCAACGAGAACGAAGACACTGGGTACGAGGGTGTTTTGCAGTTCACTCCTACACCAAGCCATATGATGATTTAACATAACCTGTTACAATAACTTTTAAATCTGTGGAGGGAGTTCTATAGTGTTGCCATTCAAACGAAACCCCTTTGGCCAAACTTTTGTATAGTACTATTTATTTGCAAATATTTTACGAAAAGAAATGAATTTTATTAATTTTCTACATTTGCTACCATTACGAGTGAAAGATATTGTCATGATCTTGTTAAATGTTTTTGTCTTTCTACACAGTGTTTGCCGAATACGCTGGGGCGAATACACCACAAGTATTTGAGAGCCCGCGAGATATCCCTAATATGGAGAGTACATTGTTCGACTGGCCAGTCAGAATATTAAGAAGCGCGTAACTCAAAGCAAAAGCTAGTTTTTTTACTGTTAGGAAAGTTCGTACTTACCGTTTCTCTTTCAGCTTCTCCTTGGCCACTTCCTTCGTTACCGTAGAGAACAATAGCTGTCATCAAACACAATTGAAACGAGCAGGTTAGCTTTTCAGCATATAACCTGTGCTAGTTCACTTAGAACGAACTGCTGTCAATTATTCAAACAAGAATAAATTTGTTTACCTCATTCTAAAGTAAAAACTATTTCAAAGTGAAATATTTTCTCCAAGAAAATTGCAACGCTTTATTTCAAAATATATTGCTCTAATAGATTTCTGTCAGTTTGATTTGCTTAAGTCTGTGAAGTAACGATGTTTATTTTAAGTCAACCGACTCATTGTTTTCAGTTACAATAAACTGAACTATCAGGGCATAGAAGTGGTTTTAAATGTCTATTGCCCATTTTAAAGGTCGGGTTCCTAGGCGATTTTAATCGTTTAATAAGGTTAACTGGAATACCATAAAAAAGAATCCTACATCAAGGCAGTGAAACCTGTCTTTTCGCTGTTACACAAGCCTTTGAATTGGCGTGATGCCATAAGAGTGTCCTAGCAGAACTACTACTGTCCTTACCTGCTTGGTGTGGTTTTGGGTGAACCATGGTCACAAGATGTTTTTTGTCACTTTGTTCTGTAACCTTTCTTGCCGAGGATTCCCAAGTCAATAACACTAAGACACAGAATTTTGCGAGCTTAAAGGGTTCCATGGTTTCGGGTGACTTGGAAATCATGAAGATTGCTATTGCTTCATGGGGAAGAGCACATGAACTCTTTAATGTTAACAAGTTGTGTCATGATCAAACTCAAAACAGCCAGCGCGTAACATTTGTCACAATAACTTTCTTGTACAGTTGCAGGTACGCGATGGACAATTTTTGGACGCCCACTCACAGAAAAATCAAGAACCAGTCCTCAGCTAGTGGATCGGCCAATAAAATCGCGATCATTGTACCACTCGATGACCCGATATTATTGTCAAAAAAACTTTAAACATGTCGCATTCCTCATTAGCGCGGGTAAACATTTAAACCTGGCATAAGTTACTGGTTGTTTAACACATAAAAGAAGAGGCGCGAGGTCAGTGCTCGCTGAAGCTGCCAGAACTCTCCGATCGGCGAACAAATTCGTTTTTTTCAGTCCCGGGTTGGTATTAGCCTCCCACGCAGGTGTTTTTAGGGGAGCTCGTGCGTGGGAGGCTAGGTCGGTATGAGCAGGATAAAAAGAGTGCCCTTATATGGACGTTTGCCCTTACGAAAGTAGCGATCTGCGTATTTCTTTTGATGGATTTTCTACTTCAAGAAATGAATAATATTTAACGAAGCTCCGCTTTTAGGCTTGACTAAACCTATATATTTAGTAGTATTTTAATTCTCGCGCTTTGTGGTACATCGAGGTAGCAGAGTAATATTAAGGGAGATAGCATAGGAAAAGCCCGGTTTCAAGAAACAAATTACAACGTTTTCAGTCGACACACTTCAATAATCGTTCAGCGTTCAGCGTGTCTTAAAGTGGTGGCTAAGAATGACCAAGTAACTTTCCCGACGAACTTTTATCAAAGTAAAACCGTAAATCGCATAAGTGATTCCAACTTTCATACCTAAAAGATCACGTGAAAATTAAGGATCGTGACAAGCACGACACACCTTTTTTTCAACCAGGAGCCCATTTCAACATATAATTCCTGCACCTAACCTTTAAAGAAAAAAGGACAGATACACGAACTTCTCTTCATTTTTCATTTCAATTTTTTTAGATCTCCCTGAATCACGATTTTTAAGTTTTCCTATATTACGTCGATGCTTGTACGTTCAGAGGCGATAATGATTTGTACAATTTACTGAAAAAGTAACGGGTCTAGAGTCAAGAGGCGAAAAATACAGATTCAGCCACATTATGATGCAGGTAGAATAAACGGACTTGAGTATCCTCTCAATGAGCAACTTTGTTGAATTGTTTGCGTTCCTTAGGGAAGGGTTGAAGCATTCCTTCCTGACAGTATTTCATTAATGCCGCTTTTAAAGCCTGAAAAGCAATAAAGAAAGACACTAATTAAATTCTTTGGAATTATATGATATGAATAAGCTGTAAATGGAGAAACGCCAAGAAGGGCACAACGCAAAACAAGAATTTTCATGACTAGGCACGGCTGTCTTATAAACTGTATTAACGAGCCTCTTTACTGGAGAGATAAAGTACTGATTAAGCGGTTATAAGTTTAGCGACGAAAGTAATTTAGTAATGCATTGGTCGAGTTCTGCTACTCTGATAAATAGAGGCTCGGGTCAAAGGTTGAATTCACATGGGAAGAAATTAACGCTAATGAACGAGAATAGATTTTGCTCACTGCTTTATTTTGGTTCGTCCACTCGCTCCAGTCCTGCCAAGCCTCAGCTCGACTGTCTTAAAAGAGACTGGTCACAGTTAAGCGTTTTTTTTCGTTACCAAGACTGGCTACCCAGCTAGAAAGTAAATGGAGTAAAATGCACTGTGGCTAATTACTTACCTCGTTTTTCGCTCTAATTTGACTGTAGCTCGAAGCTGAAAGTGAATCATAAAAGCAGATATAGTTAGCTATTGTTATATAGCTGGCAGCCGGTCAAGGTTGTTAAAACAGGTATGGTACTTGGGTTGAAACTAGCCTGAAGAGCAGCCAGGCGTTTCTTTACAAAAGATTCTTCAGTTTTTTGGAAACAAGTAACAAAAAAGAGGGAGGGGGGGGGGNTAAGTGATTCCAACTTTCATACCTAAAAGATCACGTGAAAATTAAGGATCGTGACAAGCACGACACACCTTTTTTTCAACCAGGAGCCCATTTCAACATATAATTCCTGCACCTAACCTTCAAAGAAAAAAGGACAGATACACGAACTTCTCTTCATTTTTCATTTCAATTTTTTTAGATCTCCCTGAATCACGATTTTTAAGTTTTCCTATATTACGTCGATGCTTGTACGTTCAGAGGCGATAATGATTTGTACAATTTACTGAAAAAGTAACGGGTCTAGAGTCAAGAGGCGAAAAATACAGATTCAGCCACATTATGATGCAGGTAGAATAAACGGACTTGAGTATCCTCTCAATGAGCAACTTTGTTGAATTGTTTGCGTTCCTTAGGGAAGGGTTGAAGCATTCCTTCCTGACAGTATTTCATTAATGCCGCTTTTAAAGCCTGAAAAGCAATAAAGAAAGACACTAATTAAATTCTTTGGAATTATATGATATGAATAAGCTGTAAATGGAGAAACGCCAAGAAGGGCACAACGCAAAACAAGAATTTTCATGACTAGGCACGGCTGTCTTATAAACTGTATTAACGAGCCTCTTTACTGGAGAGATAAAGTACTGATTAAGCGGTTATAAGTTTAGCGACGAAAGTAATTTAGTAATGCATTGGTCGAGTTCTGCTACTCTGATAAATAGAGGCTCGGGTCAAAGGTTGAATTCACATGGGAAGAAATTAACGCTAATGAACGAGAATAGATTTTGCTCACTGCTTTATTTTGGTTCGTCCACTCGCTCCAGTCCTGCCAAGCCTCAGCTCGACTGTCTTAAAAGAGACTGGTCACAGTTAAGCGTTTTTTTTCGTTACCAAGACTGGCTACCCAGCTAGAAAGTAAATGGAGTAAAATGCACTGTGGCTAATTACTTACCTCGTTTTTCGCTCTAATTTGACTGTAGCTCGAAGCTGAAAGTGAATCATAAAAGCAGATATAGTTAGCTATTGTTATATAGCTGGCAGCCGGTCAAGGTTGTTAAAACAGGTATGGTACTTGGGTTGAAACTAGCCTGAAGAGCAGCCAGGCGTTTCTTTACAAAAGATTCTTCAGTTTTTTGGAAACAAGTAACAAAAAAGAGGGAGGGGGGGGGGGAGGGGGGGAGGAGGACAAAACACCCACTAATTGCAGGCGCGTATTTGGTTGGTCTTAGAAACTGTCGCTTGTTGATGCGCGAGTAACGTTTTGTCGAAAACAGAGATCGCCAAAGGCACAACTTTTTCAGCACTGGTACATCAGTAAAATGTACCAAACGTATACTTGTAACTCCGGTGAAAACGAGTCCCTCAGTCGAGGAAAGCGAAGCAAATCCGCCAGTGATATTTCCGCTTTTTTAATAATCCGTGTCAAAAACAGTTGGCGTTGATTGGCAGGTAACAATCAACTTGATACCAACCCACCAATCAGAGCCTCCGTCATCCAGTGTACGGGTTCGCCAAACGAAGAGTGGCAGTGTGCAGGCGTATTTCTCCTCCTCAACCGCCCCTGAGAAACAGTTATTACACATTCCAGGGTTTTGGTTTTGGCCAACTGAAATGTGTGCTTGCGATTATTTGACCCTACACGTGATACCTGAAAATTAAGATTTGAGGCATATCTGGCATTGTGTGAGTAAATATCAGACACCTTTATGAGGTACTTTTGAAACACTTCTGGGACATTGGCTTCATATTGTGAGATTTTGTGGGCTAGCAAGGGGATTCTANATTGTGTGAGTAAATATCAGACACCTTTATGAGGTACTTTTGAAACACTTCTGGGACATTGGCTTCATATTGTGAGATTTTGTGGGCTAGCAAGGGGATTCTAAGTTTAAAAATGTTGTCACGATCGTAATTTAAAAACTGGTTCTACCTTTTGCCAGTATCTATGAACACAGCACTTTTGAATTGGTTGTTTATCACATTAAGGGTACAATTACTTGCAGTCCTTAAATTTTGCAATTTTGGTAACTGCGTATTTTGTGAGTACATGATTTTGCCAAAATTTGACTGAAAAAAGAACAATTTTGCGAGTTAAAACTACTGCCCCAGTAGCCGAAATTTGAGATTTGTCAAACAGGCGCCAAAATCGCAAAATCAAGTTCCCTAAGTAACAGTAGCCTTAAGGTCGCCATACAAGGAACAGGTCCTTACAGTTGTACCAACAGGTAATTCTTAAAGGAGCTCTTGAGTTTTACCAGTTTGAAAATACCGCATCTTTATGTACCAAGTTATTAAATAAACGAATGTAGTACATACATCTGTAGAATCTACAAGTACTTTACCTTCTGCGATCATCTTATCTCCAGTGAACACACCAACCACGTAAACAGGTACAAGTGTGTTTAAACCACTTTGCTGAATGAGCCTGTTAAACAATAACATAATATGCTAAGCATGAACATCAGAAGACCTATATAATAGCATACTCTGGAAATTTACAAGAACTCTGAAAGCAGCTTAAATTTAATTTCTCACCCCAATTTGTTTAGAGGTGGCTGAATACAGTTTCTCCGACATAGAGTTGCACACGCTAAGAAATTTCACTGACACAATTGATTCCGCGCGCGCAAAAGTGTTGAGCATGCGTACTTAGGGGAAATGTGCGAGCGCTTGTTTTGCTGACTTTCATAGACAATGTAAATAAATGACGATATCTCAAAATCAACTCATTAGAATTATTTTGACGAAATGAGGCAAAACTCTTGTCAATATCGCACTTCAGTCATTGAAAGCCCGAAAATAAAAGTTGAACAAAGGATTTTTCGTGACACAATCAAATTTCACATGATAGCTATTAATGATATTTTTGTTAAAAATTTCAAAAACTGTTTGTTACAGTTCGGTCAAGTTGTTTTTAGGAAATGAGGATCATAATTTGTAACCAGTGTGCAAATTCATACGAACATCTAATGACTAGATTTTTCGTTAACCTACTGAATTCATAATTTTAGGCTTGTTATAAACCATCCATGTTGCCATGGCAATGGTCTAAATCTTACGTTTAACCTAATAAACGTAATGTCTTATAAATATAATATATTTTGTCCGTGCCAAATTTGAGCCTGATACCAGCAACGAGTCTCAAAAAACACACCCCAATGAACAGTAACGACTCACGACCGACCAAACTGTGTTAAGCCACCTTAAGGTTGGTTCCAATGCTCACAAAATTATACTTCATAAAATAGAACAAAATAGACAAACGCT